CGAATCTAAGGTATTGTGGTTATCCAATACAGCAGTTACTGAAGCGGTTATTGAGCAATCTTATCACACCCTACGACCCAAAAATCCTTGTTGTAAGCGGTTAAACGATTAGAGTAATGGCAACAGTTAGAGACGGCAGTTCCATCACAAGTCAGTCATCATGAAGAAAGTGGATAGTTATAGAGCATCAAACAGTTTCCAAACATTTTTTCACAAAGGAACTATCAAGGGAGTATAAAAAGAAAAAGAAGATATAGAAGGAAGGACCCCGAATCAAATACTCTCGTGTGCTTCTGCCCCTTGGAAGCATTTTATTTATTTCCAATTGTACTTTACATCAATAAAGCACCCATTTTTAGGATTTTGTCTCAAGAGGTTTGGTGTTTGAGGATACAAAAAGTGAAACAATATGCCTCATAAGTCTGATAAGGAACCAGCAAGTTAGAAAGTAGTCCAGTCTGTGATCGAGCGATATGAGGAGCAGTAAAGCTCTCCACGAACAGAGGGACAGAGTCAGAGCAGTCACTGTCGTTACAAACCAATGACAGAGTTAAGTCCTCAAATCATGCGTGCGTTGCTTGGGGGAACTCACACATGATGTCGTTTAATAGGTAAATCTACGAAATGTTCATAATATGGAAAGATTTATCCAAAATGGGAATGCACATTATGACAATATGGTCAAACAATTGAATACATTAAACGAAATAATGAACAAGTTAGTAGGCCAAATGTGTCAGCCAGTTATGCCTATTGCAAACCACTTTCAAACTAGGACGATTGTGGGACATAATCCCCCAGTCTTGAGTCCGAATCAAGGAATAGAACCACATTTTGGTCCGTTTGCTTCAAACCAGGGGGGCGGCGTAGTGCCAAACTTGAATAGTGGTAATGGTACGTCAAACCTGGGGGGTAAACCCAAATATAAGAGGCAATGTCCTGAATAATGGATAGAATAACTCACGTGTAGTGGTGGCAAAAAAACTCACTGGCTCGGACGACTCTGGCTTTGGCTTGGCCCGGAAAAAGTTCGAGACGGACTCGGTGGAACTGAGCCTAGGCTCAGGCCAAGCCCCATTTTGGGGGGCTAGCCCGAGCCGGGCCGGCACGTAAATAATTAAAAAAAATAAAAATTTTTTTTAAAGCTACAGCTAAAATAGTTG